CTGGCAAGTGAATTCCAACAGGGTTCTCTAAGGCGTTTCGGATTGAAGGGTGGGGTTTATTGGGTTTCGGGTTCCCTTTGGGGGGGCTCCCATAGGATCCTAAATACAAACCACAAAAAAGGAACTACTTTAGGGCCCAAGGGTAGAACCCTTGCGCGTGAATCTTGGGGCCCTGTGCCCCAGAATGTGGATTGCCAAGGCGCGCCAGGCTTCTTTCCGCAACCGGCACACCTGAGGGTTTTCATGGAGGGGGACTTCGGGCTTATGACTTTAGGGTTTAAGGCCCAAGGAGCTGAGATGCCAAGGGTGACCCATTCGCGTGGTTTAGGGTTTAGGGTTAGAATGTCTGCACAAAAAGAGGATCAATGTAGTAACCCCAAGGGTCCAAAGGATCCAAGAAGCGGGTACTTCGGTTACGGATAGCAGTAATTGTGCGTAATATTTGGGAGAGTATATGATTATTCGGCACTTGGACTCTTAGGGTGACACTTCCTCTGCTTTGTTTGAGGTGTAAACTTTAACCCTAAACCCTAAACCCTAAACCGTATGGAAGAACAAAGGGGAACTTTTTGTGTAGCGCCTCCATACGGTTTGGTGGCAGGATTCCGAGAGATCTTCCGGGGCATCACCGACGAGCAGGCACACTTGTAGGGTTTAGTGTTTAGGGTTTAGGGTTTAGGGGTTTAGGGTAGCATTTTGGGCACAGGTTTCGGCTGTAGGGGATTTCCATCATAGTGCGATTGTGATTTTCAGTTTCACCCCTACCGTCATCCGTACTTCATCCGGATTCCCCCAAATGTAACCTTTAAGGTAAAGTATCAGGGCATCCTTTCTAAGGTTCACTGTAAGTCCAACATGCAAGCTGCTTTTAACACTTTGCAAAACCCTCAGACGATTTGTAGGATACTGTTGATGCACAAAATCCTGCATGACCTTATATACCTAAACTATGGGATTTATGGTACTATACTATATTTGGGTCATGCACAATTTTGTCCATCAGCCGTATCATGTTCACCCAAAAAAGCTTTTACCAAACCCTGCAAGCTAGAAGCCTCCAACTCCCAAACCCTAAACCCCTAAACCCCTAAACCCTAAAACCCCTAAACCTCTAAACCCCTAAACCCCTAAAGCCCTAAACCCTACACCCTAAACCGTGGGGTTTAGGGTTTAGGGTTCCCCTAAACCCTAAACCCCTAAACCCTAAACCCAAAAACCCCTAAACCCTAAACCCTCAACCCTCAGCCCCTTAACCCTAAACAAAGGTCAAAAAATATAGAAAATATTAAAAAAAACCAAGCCCACAGAGCTTGGGCCGCGAGGTCGAGCAGATCTTTGACCTTGCCGAGCTTCGGGCTGTGAATGCAACTTGGCCGGCACATACCTGAAGAGGGTTTAGGGTTTAGGGTTTAGGGTTTAGGGTTTAGGTTTAGGGTTTAGGGTTTAGGGTTTAGGGTTTTGGTTTAGGGTTTGGGTTTAGGGTTAACACAGTGGACCCGAAAAGGGTAATATAGGGGCCTTAATAATTTAGAATAGGGTTTGGGGGCCCATTATGCTATAATTATGATGAGGAACCTCCAAAATAGCATTATTTTAAGGTTCGTACAGCATATACGGATTCTTGGCGTTCTTTTGCTTGGCTCTTAGGACTTTAACTTTTTGGGTTTCTATATGAACCATAATAAGGGAGCTAAAAGTTTAACTTTTAGGAGGGGTTCAGAAACCCTAAACCCTAAACCCTAAACCCTAAACCCTAAACCCTAAACCCTAAACCCTAAACCCTAAACCCTAAACCCTAAACCGTTACAGGGTATAGGGCCGCTACTTTCAAGCGTCATTTGGTCCTCGGGGTGGGGTTTATATCGTTCAGGGCTGAACGGCCTTTTGGATGTGTAGGCCCTAGCCCTACAACTTGGCCGGCACATACCTTAAGAGGGTTTAGGGTTTAGGGTTTAGGGTTTGTAAGTAAAGCAGAGAAGTGGGAGAATATGGGTTGAAGGTTGTGGCATAGACTGTTATGGGTTTGGGGTTTAGGGTTTGGGTGCTCGGGGGTGGGGCATGATAAGAAACCCTAAACCGAAGACCGAGTCATTGCTGCTGTTTGAGGGCTACTCTGTACTTTTGGCAAGTGTCGTACAAGGTCGTTTATCGTTGTCCACGGCTCGATTTGTTTATTATTGGTTTGCAAAAGATTTCTATACATGGTTTAGGGTGTCTCGAGTTGTTTTAATAGGATTGCACGTGGTTCTATAAGGGTTGTTTGAGGGGGTTGCGGTTCGAGGCTTAAGGGTTTAGGGGTTTAGAGGTTTAGGGGTTTGGAAGGACCGAGCCTCAAGACAAATGCTCGATTACATGTCCCCTCATCTCTTCTCTATGGCTCTATGGCCATGGGCTTAGTTTAGGGTTTAGGGTTTAGGGTTTAGGGTTTAGTTTAGGGTTCAGATTTCAGGTTTAGGGTTTAAGGTTAAACTTGAATCTGATGTCGCACTTAGAGTCGTTTCTCCAGCCAGGCTGCGTTGTTCCTCCACGTGTTTCGCAGCGCAGTCTAGTTTTGGTAGCGCACCCTGAAACCTAAGCCCTGAACTCTAAACGTCTCTACAGCGACTCCTAAATCTTATGAACCCTATAAGCCCTGAACTCTAAACATCTCTAAACCACCATAAAACCGACTCCTAAACCTTATGAACCCTATAAGCTCTGAACTCTAAACATCTCTAAACCACCATGAAGCCGACTCCTAAGCCTTAAGAAACCCTAAGCCCTGAACTCTAGGACACCATCCGTGGTCAACCCACACTTCTCGGGGAAGCCATCGCAAGCATCCTGTTGGGCGTGGACGACATGCGCGATGGCATTCGCACCATCCAGGCGGGTTCAGCGAATCACGGAGTGAGCTGACTCTCAAACCATGTATAGTAGTATAGGAGCCTACATAACTACCAATACTATTTTGGAGGCTCCTTGTTAAATAGTTAGACTATAATGGGCCCCAAAACCCTATTCTGATGATCGCCTCAAGTCGAAGCTCGAAACCCCAAGCCTTTGCAGTACCCTTCTGTTAACCGTTTTGCCAGGACAAGCAGTTTAAGAGCTACAAGGAAGCGAAGATCTGGATGGAGGACCGACGTCGTCGTTTCGTCGTTGACAGTTCCAGGGTTTAAGGTTTAAGTCCCCGTTTTGGTAGCAAGCCAGACCGGGTGGTTGCTCGTCTGAACGACCAATATAGAAGCCTGAAGAATAAGCATCACCCTAAACCCTGAGCCCTAAACCGTTTCCCTTGGGGTTCTTTTCTTCTAGTTACTAGTTATCCATTGCAATCACGCAGGCCCCTACATTACGTTTGGGGTATCCTTCTGTTGCATCTTTGCCGGCAACACCCAGCATTTTTGAGTATTGCTATTGCTGCGACGGCTCAGAAGCGTAAAGCCTTAGCCCCTAAACCCCAGACCCTAAACCCATAGCCCTGACTGCTATCGCCGTCACAAGCATCGCTCTGTTGTAGTCTATGGCTCAGGGAATGGATTCAGGGTTCTATCAGGATTGAAAAGGGTTTATAGGGTCTTGTTCAAAGTTCACTTTATACAGGCTCGAGAAAGGGTTTAGGGTTTAGGGTTCCATAAGGGTTCAATACAGGTGCTCTTCTCTATAAGGGTGGAGCTCAAGAAATGGGTTCGATCAAGGTTTCAACAAAAATTCTGTAAGGCTTAAAATTTTTAGAAGGTTACAAAAATTCTGTAAGGCTTAAATTTGTCTAGAAGGTTTTAAGGTCAACACGTGGGTCGGTTTTTCCTCGGCGAGTTTCGTTTTCAGGTTCGGGCTGGGCAGGTTTGGGTCGTTTTAAGCGCATGTTTTCCTCCAGCTGTCTGGAGTACCCTGGGCACTGGGGAGAGCGAATTTTGCGGTGTCGGTTTACGGTGTTTTAGAGGTTGGAGCTTGTGTGCAGACAGGCAAGCTGTAGGGCCGAGAGCTCAGAGATGTGAGGGTCCGGGGTAGGGGAACCTTAAAGCCTAAACCCTGAGCCCTGAACCCTTAACCCCCTAAACCCCAAACCCTATTAAACCCCTAAACCCCAAAACCCTGACCCCTAAACCCCTAAAGCCCCTAAACCCCTAAACCCTCAAACCCTTAAACCCTAAACCCTAAACCCTAAAACCTAAACCTTAAACCCTAAACCTTAAACCCTAAACCCGAAACCCTAAACCTTAAACCCTAACGATTTTGGGCTTGGGAGATCAGGCGGCTCC